GGGCAAGACTTCTACCCATATCCTCAGACCCCCTCGAGTCGTGAAAAAAACGACGGGTTTTCGCTATTTTCGGCCTCCAGGGACTCCCCCCCGTCGTCAGGACCGTCAAAAAACGACTCAGGATGAAAAACCGGTCCCGGGGAATGGGTCGAAATTTCTTGGGGTCAGCGTTATAAAACAATCATGACGTCTGGGGTTTGGGTATTCATTGCGTCTTGGGCTTTCGGGGAAGGGGCACCAAAAGGCCGAGGCACAGTGGATATGATATGGAAAAGCATCCCGTCTAATTATATAGGTCTTTGTCCACAACCACTGCGCCTCCGGTTTCTGGGGAGGGGAGCCCGGAACTCCAAGACGCAGTGGACCCAGATCCCCGACGTCATGTTCTTGTTCATTACGTCGACCCCCAGAGGTCTCGACCCATTTCCCGGGACCGGTTTCTCACCCCGAGCGTCTTTCCGTGACGGTCTCGCGGCCCGGTGAGGGCCTTGGGAGGCCGAGAATAGGCAAGAAACCTCCGTCGTGATTTCTTCTTGGCTCGAGGGGGCTGTGCTCGGCGTCACCCCAACACACTTATACTACACGTGCGTCGCCCCCCAGGGGCGATGCGCGCACCGAGAAGTCTTATGGTGTGTGCGTCGTGGCGGGCGCAGTCTGGCCACACCGCTCGGGAAACGATATGCTACAAGATGGGTATACTGTATGTTTGGGTCGGACGCGCGCCTCCAAGTCGAACATACAGGGATCTAGTACTACAAACAACGATGAGTTCATGCATACATCTATCTATTCATATATTGATCATACATAAAAAAACCAATGTGAAACAAGCCCATGTATTGAAACCTGCCCTGTGTAATACTGGTATGTCTTTGTGCATCCCCTGTTCTCCTGGCGCCCCTCCTGGGGCCCCGCCTGCCTGCAGGTCTCGGGCCCGCGGGGCCCGCAGGCCCCCCCGAACGGCCCTTCGACGAAGCAGTGGCGAGGCGTGGCCTAAGCACCATTTGTGGTCCGCGCGAGGTCTTAGAACATGTCTGGTCGAGGTGGTCCTGCTTGTCGCACCTCGGGTTTCTGTTCTCAGAACTTTGTGCGCTTGTCCTCAGAACCTGGGTGGGGTTCCAAGAACGTGCCGTGGTGGGCCAATAGGAATGCCGGGGCGGTCGGTCCCTGCTCGATTCGAGAGCTGTGTGCCTCCGCGTGCTCCGTGCACGCCCCCGCGCGGGGTGCGCACAGCGCGCGCGCGGCGTCGGAGGCCCGGGCCCGTGCCGCCTGCTGTGTTTTTTCCCGTGTTTTTTTTCCTCCGTCCTGGTGTCGCCGCGACCACACGGGTCGACTAGACGTAAGAGTGACCTTTCGCCGGAGTGACCTATGGTGCGGGCACAGATGGGTCCCCAGATGGCTGAAAACGAAGCAGCAGCAGCTGCTTGCGCGCCCAGGTTTGGTCCCCCCGCGGCCCCCCAAAAGTCGCGCATCACTCTCACCCAGGGTCACTCTTGCCTATAGCCGAACGGGGGGCCGCCGGCACCGCGCTCCCCAGACCCCGTCGGCGCGGCGTCAAAGTCGGGATCGTCGGGCGGTGCTTCGCCAGATGCTCGGCCTCCGGGGGCCCTTGGCTGGGCCTCGGGGCCGTCAAGAAGAAGGACTCGAGAGGGGAGGAGCCGGTCCCGGGGAAGGGGTCAAGACCTCTGGAGGTCGGCGCAGCGACAAAAGTCACGACGTCGGGTGTCTGGGGGTGGGCGTCGGCACCGCGCTCTGGCCGCTCGCGCGGCGGCGCTCTAGCGCTCCCCCCCCTGCTCCAACCGCTGCATGGAGGGCTTCTCCGAAGGGCTTAGGCGACCCGACCCGTCCTCCGCCTCCGCCTCCGCCTCCGCCTCCGCCTCCTCCTCCTCCTCCTCCTCCTCCTCCTCCTCCTCCTCCTCCTCCTCTCCTCTCCTCCTCCTCCTCCTCCTCCTCCTCCTCCTCCTCCTCCTCGGGTCGCCTACGGCCCCGGGGGAAACCGTGCACAGCTGCTTAGCGCCTGGAGCGCCCTCCGCGCTCAGGGTCTGAGGAGGGCCAGTCGAGGCAGCGGTAACTATGGGTGGTCGTGGCTCCAGGGACGGGGGTCAGTGCAAGAGGGGTCAGCCAGGGCGCCGGATCTTGCAGGATCCTGAAGAGCCAGGGCTGCACCGATCGGGTTCGGGGCGCAGGATCCTGCAGGATCTTGCAAAGCATGGCGGAGCTGGGTCTGGATTGACCCGAGCTGGACTTCCGGGGGCCCTCTCGTCGCCACGGTTGGGCACAGCTCGGGAAGGACCGCAGGCGAGGAGCGCGCGGGCGCGGGCGCGGGCGCGCAGGCGCGTGGCGGCGAGGCGCGGGCGCGGGCGCGCAGGTGCGTGGCGGCGAGGCGCGGGCGAGGCGGCGAGGCGGCGAAGCGGCGAGGCGGCGCGGCGGCGAGGCGGGCCGACCCTGGGAAGGAGCCCCTGCGCTGCGCTGTCGTTGCCTCGCCTCGCCCTGCTCCGACCCGGCCCGCGCCCCGTGGGGCACCTGCTCCGACGGGGCCCGGGCCGCCAGGTGGCCCCGCCCGCGGAGGTGCCTCGGCCTCTTGCCCTCGCCGCGCGCGGCGGGTGCGCGGCGCAGGAGCTGCCCGCAGTGCCCGCAGCGCCCGCCGCGCCCGGTGCCTGCACCCCGGAGCAGCCGGCGCCGGCGCCGTGGCACAAGTCCTTCGCCTTCTCTTCCTCTTCCCTTTTCCTGTCGTGTCCTCCTCCTCCTCCCTCCCCTTCTCCTCCTCCTCCTCCTCCTCCGCCTCCTCCTCCTCCTACTCCTCTTTCCCCTTCTCCTCCTCCTCCGTCGCCGCCGCCTCCTCCTCCTCCTCCTCCTCCCTCCTCTCCGCCTCTCTCCTCCTCCTCCTCCTCATCTCCTCATTCCGTCATCCCTCCCCTTCCTCCTCTCCTCCTCTCCTCCTCCTCTTCCTACTCCTCCTCCTCCTCGACCTCCTCTCCCTCCTCCTCCTCCTTCCTCCTCCCGTTCCCTCTTCCCTGTTCCTTCCTCCTCCTCCTCCTCCTCCTCCTCCTCCTCCTCCTCCTCCTCCTCTCCGGGCTGTTGAAGGACTCGCTGTTGCGAGCTGGGCGGCTACTGAGCGCCAGCTGCAGTGCTCGTAGGAGGCGGAGGGTGCGCCCCCCTCCCCCCCCGCCAGCCCTCGCCGTGCGCAATGCAGGCGCACTGACGCACAGGCGTGTGGGCGGCGGCGGCGGCCAGACTGGAGCAAGCGGCGGCCGAAATAGCGGAGGATGGCGGCGGAGCTCGTCTGCGGCTCACCCTGGGGGGCCCCAGGGCCCCTTGCTGAGGGGGGGGGGATGTGAGGCTCGAGTCTGCTGGGGCTCGGGCATGCCGCCGCTATTTGACGGCCCCTGCATGAATTCAGACGGTCCAGCTCTCGTGCGATGCTTGCAGTGGGCGTTCGCGTCAAATTTAGGACTGGGCCCGCCATTGTTCTTCTGACGGCCCCGTCAGACAAATTCGAGTCCCCACGTTTCGAGTCTTACGTCTCCCTACCGCGCTGGCCTACCCAGCAGCTTCAGATATGCTTCAGGAAGCCCCGAAAGCCTCTGGACCCCCCTTCAGAGATTCCCGCAAACCTGCGAGCGACGGCGACGGCGACGGCGGCGACGACGACGATGAGGATAACGGCAACTGCCACGGCCACGGCGACGGCGACGACGACGGCGACGGCCATGGCGACGGCGACAGCGACGGCGACCATGCCGACGACGACACGTGGCGACGATGATGGTGAAGTCTCGGACCAAAACGTTGAGGACGACTGCGATCCTTCCGTCTCGACCGGAGCCCCAGGTTTCTGCAGGCAGATGAGGCCCGCGGCTCTGGGTCACGAACCTGCCGCACGCAGCACCTGTCGAGCCGGCTCGATGCGTGCTGGCCCCGGGGGCCCGCGACGGGGCGAGAAGGTTCGGTGGGAAGAGATGGCCCCGACGGTTCCGATGGGTTTTTGTGGGGGGAGGGGGTTTTCCAGAGAGCCCCGCAGGGGCCTCGGAACCTCGTCAGGGGGTGCGAAGCCCCTGGGGGCCCCCTCCTGGGAAGCGCCCTCCCCCAAAAAAGCCCTCGTTGGAACCCTCCAGACTGCCGCGCATCTCAGGGCGCCCAGCAGAGCCCGCGCGCCCGAGGGCGTCGACCTCGGCGACCTCCAGGCGCACGTGGTGGCCCTGCGGACCGACTCGGCGCGGCGCGAGGCGCTGCTGAGATCCGCGAGGGCCAGTCGCTCCGGCCGCCGGCCCCCCCTCCCTGCAGTCTTCGGGCGCCCCTCGACAAAGAAGCACCTGCACAGGCCGGGGGAGGGAAGATGCAGTGGGCGCCCATGCCAAGAAGCACCCTGCCTGCCTGCAGGGTGCCCAATGGGCATTTTTGGGTTTCGATGGTTTTGCAGTGGAGAGCGCGCCGTCTCCACACCAGAAATCAATGGACGTACTGGGGTCTCAGGGGCGGGTTTCTTGTGGAAGGTTTCTTGTGGTCGAGCTCTCACTGTACTCGGATGGGGAAGGAGGTCATAAGAATGGTACGTTCCGGCAGTTCCAGGATGCCGTAGACACCCCTCCGGGGGCTAGGAGGAGCGGGGGGAGGAGGATCAGGAACAGGAGCTGGAGCAGGAGCAGGAGCAGAAACAGCAGGAGCAGCAGGAGCAGGAGGAGGAGGAGGAGGAGCAGGAGGAGCAGAAGGAGGAGGATCAGGAACAGGAGCAGAAGCAGGAGCAGAAGCAGGAGCAGGAGCAGGAGCAGCAGGCGCAGCAGGAGGAGGAGGAGGAGGAGGAGATGTAGTAGTAGTACAGAAGTAGTCGTAGTAGTAGTAGTAGTAGTAGTAGTAGTAGTAGTAGTAGTAGTAGTAGTAGTAGTAGTAGTAGTAGTAGTAGTAGTAGTAGTAGTAGCCGTACTAGTAGTAGTAGTAGTAGTAGTAGTAGTAGTAGTAGTAGTAGTAGTAGTAGTAGCAGTAGTAGTAGTAGTAGTAGTAGT